CAAGTACAAGTACAAGTACAAGTACAAGTACAAGTACAAGTACAAGTGCAAAAGTACAAATAGGAGTACAAGTACAAATACAAGTACAAGTACAAGAGGAAGTCTATGGTTTTAAAGGTTCATTGTCATGGCAGAAAGTGGATGAAGCTGTACCCTGTGTCTTCAGGGTGGGCCTGAGGTGAAATATCTTTTGCAAGGAGGAGAGTCTGGGAAGGAATGCTTAATTGGCTATGCCCTGGCCTTTAGGTATCTCATTAATATGGTGATCCCTTGAGGCTCTGCAGCCTATAGTCACACCCTCTAACTGTGCTGCATGACCTAAGGCCACAAACCTTTCTTTGGAAGGGGCTGTGGGTAAGTGAAAGGAACCAGGGCCCAGAAGCAAGGCCAAACATCTACTGTCCCATTAGGGTACCTGGGGTTGGAGGCCTGTGCTCAATCAGGTACCCAGCTGCCTCTCACAGCCCACCACCCCACAAACTTGGAATGTTAACTATATTTTTGTCTGTTCTATGTTAATTTTATCTTCTTCTTATCATTATTAATGGTGTGGTAGTTGGCTTCAGTCATTTTTTACTGTTTCTATGTTTGTTTTTGTTTTGACGCAGCTGTTGTTATGGTTTTCTTTCTCCTTTCTGCATGGAAAGTAAGAAATAATTCTTGGACCCTCAAGCAGTTGCAGGAACTATATTGCCACTAAATTGCCCTCCTAGTTTGTAGAGAGTAAGAGAGTTGGCCTGGACTAGCTGCCTTGAGCAGCATGAGTCACAAGTTTCCCAGGTTATTAAAATCCATGGCTCCTGAGACACAATGTGTTCTCCAGAGAGACCCATGTACTCCCTCAGGCAGGAAAGCATTCAGGCAGATTAGTGTTTCTCTCTATGTTCCCATAGATGTCAAGGAAGCATGGGAGCTTAACTGAACAATTGGTCTTAGATATTAAACTTTCACAGCTTGCAAACATCATTGTACCTTAGAAACTACAACTGTATTGATCCTGGCAATTGCCATTGTATTTTTTTTCTGATAAAGATATTTAAAAGTCTGATTGGTCTCAATAAAATTGCCACAGCCTCAGTTTTGCTGTGGATCCTCCAACTGGCCTGATTTAATTCCTAGCAGCTATATCAGGTGACCTTGGTGCAATAAAAGAAATTGCATCTTACTACAGCCATGACCTAGGCTTTTATAAATCTTGGTGCATAGGTTAGGAAGAGGGAAGACAGACCCCACCTTCAAGTCAGCAATCCAGCCCCAAGTAGGCATAACAGAGGAGGACAGATGTCAGGAGTCATGTAGGAAAGGCTAAGGCTACCCTAGAGATGGCCTTCCTGTAGGTGGCCCACCTTTTTACATGGCCTAAGATGGATGAGATCTGAGAGTCAAGGTCTCAAGAGACTTCACTTCAGGATTGCTTCTTGCAGCTGATATGTTTTTCTTGTCACTCTTACACAGCCTAAGGATTACTGGGCATGAGCCCACCCTACTGAGCAGACTTCCTGCAGATCAACATAAGGATGAACTTTTATGAGTTAATGCAGTTTAGATGAATTAATGATTCCTGATCTGACTCAAATAATTTTAAAAAGTTTTAAGAGATAATTTTAGTTGTTTGCTAGAAATATGTAATAATCTTAGAATCAAGAAGAATATCCACATTCTTCATAATAGTAAGTAAAGATGCACAATAAGAAATAGAATGAGCCTTTGTAATTACACTAAAAAGAGAAATAGGCTTGGAACAAACATTCGTTCTAGGTCATGTCTAAGGATGAAGCAACAGGTATGTACTACGGTAAGGCAAGACTGTGAAACTGTTGCTTTGAACTTATAATGAGCATATAGAATGAAACACTACTTAGAACGTAATACATCCTTCTGTAACTCCAATTTTACATAACATTTTATCTCTGAGGTAATTTTCTAAAGAACTTTTGTTTAAGGAGGTATAAAAAGGCTAGAAGGGAGAAATAGTGTTGGCTTAAGGGTGTTCTCCCTCATCCATCCATCCATCTATCCATCCACCCATCCATCCAAATGCATATGTCTATATGTCTTTTCATTTATGTGTACACGTGTAGGTATATGTGCATGTACATATAGATGCATGAACACTTGTAGAGTTTATTGAGACAGGTGGCTGGGCCTGGTCAGAATATGTGTGTGTATGAGTGTGTGTGTCTGTCTGGGCATATTTGCTTGTGTAAAGTAATTTAATTCTTTCCCCTTTTTTGTAACATTTTATCTATGATATAATTCTTTCTTATGTAGAAAACTTTTTGTCTAAAAGTTATCAGAAGCTGAAAACAATAAAAGAAAGGTGATGTAGCCATTTCCTTCTTCATCAGAGAATGTGTTTTCTGTGTGAGTGATTCTTTCCTCTCTGGTTCACAAGGAGTTAACTAGCTTGGAGAAGAAAGGGCTCACCAGAAAAGGGAGTACTAACAATAAATCCTTTACCTAATCCT